GACGTGGACGTGGACGTGGACGTGGACATGGACGTGGACGTGGACGTGGAGGACGTGGACGTGGACTGGACGTGGACGTGGACGTGGACGTGGAATGGACGTGGACGTGGACGTGGACATGGACGTGGACATGACGTGGACATGGACGTGGACGTGGACATGGACGTGGACATGGACGTGGACGTGGACGTGGACGTGGACGTGGACATGGACGTGGACGTGGGACGTGGACGTGGACGTGGACGTGGACATGGACGTGGACGTGGACGTGGACATGGACGTGGACGTGGACGTGGACGTGGACATGGACGTGGACGTGGACGTGGACGTGGACGTGGACGTGGACATGGACGTGGACGTGGACGTGGACGTGGACGTGGACGTGGACGTGGACGTGGACGTGGACGTGGACGTGGACGTGGACGTGACGTGGACGTGGACGTGGACGTGGACGTGGACGTGGACATGGACGTGGACATGGACGTGGACGTGGACGTGGACATGGACGTGGACGTGGACGTGGACGTGGACGTGGACATGGACGTGGACGTGGACGTGGACGTGGACATGGACATGGACGTGGACATGGACGTGGACATGGACGTGGACATGGACGTGGACGTGGACATGGACGTGGACGTGGACGTGGACGTGGACATGGACGTGGACGTGGACATGGACGTGGACATGGACGTGGACATGGACGTGGACATGGACGTGGACGTGGACGTGGACGTGGACATGGACGTGGAACGTGGACGTGGACGTGGACATGGACGTGGACATGGACGTGGACGTGGACATGGACGTGGACGTGGACGTGGACGTGGACATGGACGTGGACGTGGACATGACGTGGACATGGACGTGGACGTGGACGTGGACATGGACGTGGACGTGGACGTGGACGTGGACGTGGACATGGACGTGGACGTGGACGTGGACGTGGACATGGACGTGGACGTGGACGTGGACGTGGACGTGGACATGGACGTGGACGTGGACGTGGACGTGGACGTGGACATGGACGTGGACGTGGACGTGGACGTGGACGTGGACGTGGACGTGGACGTGGACATGGACGTGGACGTGGACGTGGACGTGGACGTGGACGTGGACATGGACGTGGACGTGGACGTGGACGTGGACATGGACGTGGACGTGGACGTGGACTGGACGTGGACGTGGACGTGGACGGACGTGGACGTGGACATGGACGTGGACGTGGACTGGACGTGGACTGGACGTGGACATGGACGTGGACGTGGACGTGGACGTGGACATGGACGTGGACATGGACGTGGACGTGGACGTGGACATGGACGTGGACGTGGACGTGGACGTGGACGTGGACGTGGACGTGGACGTGGACTGGACGTGGACGTGGACGTGGGACGTGGACGTGGACGTGGACGTGGACGTGGACGTGGACGTGGACATGGACGTGGACGTGGACGTGGACGTGGACATGGACGTGGACATGGACGTGGACATGGACGTGGACGTGGACATGGACGTGGACATGGACGTGGACGTGGACGTGGACGTGGTGGACGTGGACATGGACGTGGACGTGGACGTGGACGTGGACATGGACGTGGACGTGGACGTGGACGTGGACATGGACGTGGACGTGGACGTGGACGTGGACGTGGACATGGACGTGGACGTGGACGTGGACGTGGACATGGACGTGGACATGGACGTGGACGTGGACGTGGACGTGGACGTGGACGTGGACATGGACGTGGACGTGGACGTGGACGTGGACGTGGACGTGGACAGGACGTGGACATGGACGTGGACGGGACATGGACGTGGACGTGGACGTGGACGTGGACGTGGACATGGACGTGGACTGGACGTGGACGTGGACGTGGACGTGGACGTGGAGGACGTGGACGTGGACGTGGACGTGGTTGACGTGACGTGGACATGGACGTGGACGTGGACGTGGACGTGACATGGACGTGGACATGGACGTGGACATGGACGTGGACGTGGACATGGACGTGGACATGGACGTGGACGTGGACGTGGACGTGGACGTGGACATGGACGTGGACGTGGACATGGACGTGGACATGGACGTGGACATGGACGTGGACGTGGACGTGGAGGACTTGGACGTGGACATGGACGTGGACGTGGACGTGGACGTGGACTGGACGTGGACGTGGACGTGGACATGGACGTGGACGTGGACGTGGACGTGGACATGGACGTGGACATGGACGTGGACGTGGACATGGACGTGGACGTGGACGTGGACATGGACGTGGACGTGGACGTGGACATGGACGTGGACATGGACGTGGACATGGACGTGGACGTGGACATGGACGTGGACGTGGACGTGGACATGGACGTGGACGTGGACGTGGACGTGGACGTGGAGGACTTGGACGTGGACATGGACGTGGACGTGGACGTGGATGGACTGGACGTGGACATGGACGTGGACATGGACGTGGACGTGGAGGACGTGGACGTGGACATGGACGTGGACGTGGACGTGGACGTGGACGTGGACGTGGACATGGACGTGGACGTGGACGTGGACGTGGACATGGACGTGGACATGGACGTGGACGTGGACGTGGACGTGGACATGGACGTGGACGTGGACGTGGACGTGGACATGGACGTGGACGTGGACGTGGACTGGACGGACGTGGACGTGGACATGGACGTGGACGTGGACGTGGACGTGGACGTGGACGTGGACGTGGACATGGACGTGGACGTGGACGTGGACGTGACTGGACGTGGACGTGGACGTGGACATGGACGTGGACGTGGACGTGGACGTGGACGTGGACGTGGACGTGGACATGGACGTGGACATGGACGTGGACGTGGACGTGGACGTGGACATGACGTGGACGTGGACGTGGACATGGACGTGGACGTGACGTGGACATGGACGTGGACGTGGACGTGGACGTGGACGGTGGACGTGGACGTGGACGTGGACATGGACGTGGACGTGGACGTGGACGTGGACGTGGACGTGGACATGGACGTGGACGTGGACGTGGACGTGGACTGGACGTGGACATGGACGTGGACGTGGACGTGGACGTGGACATGGACGTGGACGTGGGGACGTGGACGTGGACATGGACGTGGACGTGGACGTGGACGTGGACGTGGACGTGGACTGGACGTGGACGTGGACGTGGACGTGGACGTGGACATGGACGTGGTGACGTGGACGTGGACATGGACGTGGACGTGGACGTGGACGGACGTGGAGACGTGGACATGGACGTGGACGTGGACGTGGACGTGGACATGGACGTGGACATGGACGTGGACGTGGACGTGGACGTGGAGGACGTGGACGTGGACATGGACGTGGACGTGGACGTGGACGTGGACATGGACGTGGACATGGACGTGGACATGGACGTGGACGTGGACGTGGACGTGGACATGGACGTGGACGTGGACGTGGACGTGGACGTGGACATGGACGTGGACGTGGACGTGGACGTGACGTGGACATGGACGTGGACGTGGACGTGGACATGGACGTGGACGTGGACGTGGACGTGACATGGACGTGGACATGGACGTGGACGTGGACGTGGACGTGGACATGGACGTGGACGTGGACATGGACGTGGACATGGACGTGGACGTGGACGTGGACGTGGACATGGACGTGGACATGGACGTGGACATGGACGTGGACGTGGACATGGACGTGGACGTGGACGTGGACATGGACGTGGACGTGGACGTGGACGTGGACGTGGACATGGACGTGGACGTGGACGTGGACTGGACGTGGACATGGACGTGGACATGGACGTGGACATGGACGTGGACATGGACGTGGACGTGGACATGGACGTGGACGTGGACGTGGACGTGGACATGGACGTGGACGTGGACGTGGACGTGGACGTGGACGTGGACATGGACGTGGACGTGGACGTGGACATGGACGTGGACATGGACGTGGACGTGGACGTGGACATGGACGTGGACGTGGACGTGGACATGGACGTGGACGTGGACGTGGACATGGACGTGGACGTGGACGTGGACGTGGACGTGGACATGGACGTGGACGTGGACGTGGACATGGACGTGGACGTGGACGTGGAGGACGTGGACGTGGACATGGACGTGGACGTGGACGTGGACATGGACGTGGACGTGGACGTGGACATGGACATGGACGTGGACGTGGACATGGACGTGGACATGGACGTGGACGTGGACGTGGACGTGGACATGGACGTGGACGTGGACGTGGACATGGACGTGGACGTGGACGGACGTGGACGTGGACATGGACGTGGACGTGGACGTGGACGTGACAACGTGGACGTGGACGTGGACATGGACGTGGACGTGGACGTGGACATGGACGTGGACGTGGACGTGGACATGGACGTGGACGTGGACGTGGACGTGGACGTGGACGTGGACGTGGACGTGGACGTGGACGTGGACATGGACGTGGACATGGACGTGGACGTGGACGTGGACGTGGACGTGACATGGACGTGGACGTGGACGTGGAGGACGTGGACGTGGACATGGACGTGCATGGACGTGGACGTGGACATGGACGTGGACATGGACGTGGACATGGACGTGGACATGGACGTGGACATGGACGTGGACGTGGACGTGGACGTGGACGTGGAGACGTGGACGTGGACGTGGACGTGGACGTGGACGTGGACGTGGACGTGGACATGGACGTGGACGTGGACGTGGACATGGACGTGGACGTGGACGTGGACGTGGACGTGGACGTGGACATGGACGTGGACGTGGACGTGGACATGGACGTGGACGTGGACGTGGACGTGGACGTGACGGTTGGACGTGGACGTGGACGTGGACGTGGACGTGGACGTGGACATGGACGTGGACGTGGACGTGGAGGACGTGGACGTGGACATGGACGTGGACATGGACGTGGACGTGGACTGGACGTGGACGTGGACGTGGACATGGACGTGGACATGGACGTGGACGTGGACGTGGACGTGGACATGGACGTGGACATGGACGTGGACATGGACGTGGACATGGACATGGACGTGGACGTGGACATGGACGTGGACATGGACGTGGACATGGACGTGGACGTGGACATGGACGTGGACATGGACGTGGACGTGGACGTGGACGTGGACGTGGACGTGGACGTGGACGTGGACATGGACGTGGACGTGGACGTGGACATGGACGTGGACATGGACGTGGACATGGACGTGGACGTGGACGTGGACGTGGACGTGGACGTGGACGTGGACGTGGACATGGACGTGGACGTGGACGTGGACGTGGACATGGACGTGGACGTGGACGTGGACATGGACGTGGACGTGGAGGACGTGGACGTGGACGTGGACATGGACGTGGACGTGGACGTGGACATGGACGTGGACATGGACGTGGACGTGGACATGGACGTGGACATGGACGTGACGTGGACTGGACGTGGACGTGGACGTGGACATGGACGTGGACGTGGACGTGGACGTGGACGTGGACATGGACGTGGACTGACGTGGACGTGGACGTGGACATGGACGTGGACGTGGACGTGGACGTGGACATGGACGTGGACGTGGACGTGGACATGGACGTGGACGTGGACGTGGACGTGGACATGGACGTGGACATGGACGTGGACTGGACGTGGACGTGGACATGGACGTGGACATGGACGTGGACGTGGACGTGGACGTGGACGTGGACATGGACGTGGACGTGGACGTGGACATGGACGTGGACGTGGACGTGGACATGGACGTGGACGTGGACGTGGACGGACGTGGACGTGGACATGGACGTGGACGTGGACGTGGACATGGACGTGGACGTGGACGTGGACATGGACGTGGACGTGGACATGGACGTGGACATGGACGTGGACGTGGACGTGGACGTGGACGTGGACGTGGACGTGGACGTGGACGTGGACATGGACGTGGACGTGGACGTGGACGTGGACATGGACGTGGACGTGGACGTGGACGTGGACGTGGACGTGGACGTGGACGTGGACATGGACGTGGACGTGGACGTGGACGTGGACATGGACGTGGACGTGGACGTGGACGTGGACATGGACGTGGACATGGACGTGGACGTGGACGTGGACGTGGACATGGACGTGGACGTGGACGTGGACATGGACGTGGACGTGGACGTGGACGTGGACATGGACGTGGACGTGGACGTGGACATGGACGTGGACGTGGACGTGGACGTGGACATGGACGTGGACATGGACGTGGACATGGACGTGGACGTGGACATGGACGTGGACATGGACGTGGACATGGACGTGGACGTGGACATGGACGTGGACATGGACGTGGACGTGGACGTGGACGTGGACGTGGACATGGACGTGGACGTGGACGTGGACGTGGACGTGGACGTGGACATGGACGTGGACGTGGACGTGGACATGGACGTGGACGTGGACGTGGACGTGGACATGGACGTGGACGTGGACGTGGACATGGACGTGGACATGGACGTGGACATGGACGTGGACGTGGACATGGACGTGGACATGGACGTGGACGTGGACGTGGACATGGACGTGGACATGGACGTGGACATGGACGTGGACATGGACGTGGACGTGGACATGGACGTGGACATGGACGTGGACGTGGACGTGGACGTGGACGTGGACATGGACGTGGACATGGACGTGGACGTGGACATGGACGTGGACATGGACGTGGACATGGACGTGGACGTGGACATGGACGTGGACATGGACGTGGACGTGGACGTGGACGTGGACGTGGACGTGGACGTGGACGTGGACGTGGACGTGGACATGGACGTGGACGTGGACGTGGACATGGACGTGGACGTGGACGTGGAGGACGTGGACGTGGACATGGACGTGGACGTGGACGTGGACGTGGACATGGACGTGGACATGGACGTGGACGTGGACGTGGACGTGGACGTGGACGTGGACATGGACGTGGACGTGGACATGGACGTGGACATGGACGTGGACGTGGACGTGGACGTGGACGTGGACGTGGACGTGGACATGGACGTGGACGTGGACGTGGACGTGGACATGGACGTGGACGTGGACGTGGACGTGGACATGGACGTGGACATGGACGTGGACATGGACGTGGACGTGGACATGGACGTGGACGTGGACGTGGACGTGGACGTGGACGTGGACGTGGACGTGGACGTGGACGTGGACGTGGACGTGGACATGGACGTGGACGTGGACGTGGACGTGGACGTGGACGTGGACGTGGAGGACGTGGACGTGGACATGGACGTGGACGTGGACGTGGACGTGGACATGGACGTGGACATGGACGTGGACATGGACGTGGACGTGGACATGGACGTGGACATGGACGTGGACGTGGACGTGGACGTGGACGTGGACGTGGACGTGACGACGTGGACGTGGACGTGGACGTGGACGTGGACGTGGACGTGGACGTGGACGTGGACGTGGACGTGGACGTGGACGTGGACGTGGACATGGACGTGGACATGGACGTGGACGTGGACGTGGACGTGGACATGGACATGGACGTGGACGTGGACGTGGACGTGGACGTGGACGTGGACATGGACGTGGACGTGGACGTGGACGTGGACATGGACGTGGACGTGGACGTGGACATGGACGTGGACGTGGAGGACGTGGACGTGGACATGGACGTGGACGTGGACGTGGACATGGACGTGGACATGGACGTGGACATGGACGTGGACGTGGACATGGACGTGGACATGGACGTGGACATGGACGTGGACGTGGACGTGGACATGGACGTGGACATGGACGTGGACGTGGACGTGGACATGGACGTGGACGTGGACGTGGACGTGGACATGGACGTGGACGTGGACGTGGACGTGGACGTGGACATGGACGTGGACGTGGACGTGGACGTGGACGTGGACATGGACATGGACGTGGACGTGGACGTGGACGTGGACATGGACGTGGACGTGGACGTGGACGTGGACATGGACGTGGACGTGGACGTGGACGTGGACATGGACGTGGACGTGGACGTGGACGTGGACATGGACGTGGACGTGGACGTGGACGTGGACATGGACGTGGACGTGGACGTGGACATGGACGTGGACATGGACGTGGACATGGACGTGGACGTGGACGTGGACATGGACGTGGACGTGGACGTGGAGGACTGGACGTGGACATGGACGTGGACGTGGACGTGGACGTGGACATGGACGTGGACGTGGACATGGACGTGGACATGGACGTGGACGTGGACATGGACGTGGACATGGACGTGGACATGGACGTGGACATGGACGTGGACGTGGACATGGACGTGGACGTGGACGTGGACGTGGACGTGGACGTGGACGTGGACGTGGACGTGGACATGGACGTGGACGTGGACGTGGACGTGGACGTGGACATGGACGTGGACATGGACGTGGACATGGACGTGGACATGGACGTGGACGTGGACATGGACGTGGACGTGGACGTGGACGTGGACATGGACGTGGACGTGGACGTGGACGTGGACGTGGACGTGGACATGGACGTGGACGTGGACGTGGACATGGACGTGGACATGGACGTGGACGTGGACGTGGACATGGACGTGGACGTGGACGTGGACATGGACGTGGACGTGGACGTGGACATGGACGTGGACGTGGACGTGGACGTGGACGTGGACGTGGACGTGGACGTGGACGTGGACATGGACGTGGACGTGGACGTGGACGTGGACGTGGACGTGGACATGGACGTGGACGTGGACGTGGACATGGACATGGACGTGGACGTGGACGTGGACGTGGACGTGGACGTGGACATGGACGTGGACATGGACGTGGACGTGGACATGGACGTGGACATGGACGTGGACGTGGACGTGGACATGGACGTGGACGTGGAGGACGTGGACGTGGACATGGACGTGGACGTGGACGTGGACGTGGACATGGACGTGGACGTGGACGTGGACATGGACGTGGACGTGGACGTGGACATGGACGTGGACGTGGACATGGACGTGGACGTGGACGTGGACATGGACGTGGACGTGGACGTGGACGTGGACGTGGACATGGACGTGGACGTGGACGTGGACGTGGACGTGGACATGGACGTGGACGTGGACGTGGAGGACTTGGACGTGGACATGGACGTGGACATGGACGTGGACGTGGACATGGACGTGGACATGGACGTGGACATGGACGTGGACATGGACGTGGACATGGACGTGGACGTGGACATGGACGTGGACGTGGAGGACGTGGACGTGGACATGGACGTGGACGTGGACGTGGACGTGGACGTGGACATGGACGTGGACGTGGACGTGGACATGGACGTGGACGTGGACGTGGACGTGGACGTGGACGTGGACATGGACGTGGACGTGGACGTGGACATGGACGTGGACGTGGACGTGGACGTGGACGTGGACGTGGACGTGGACGTGGACTGGACGTGGACGTGGACGTGGACGTGGACGTGGACGTGGACGTGGACGTGGACGTGGACGTGGACGTGGACGTGGACGTGGACATGGACGTGGACGTGGACGTGGACGGACATGGACGTGGACATGGACGTGGACATGGACGTGGACGTGGACATGGACGTGGACATGGACGTGGACATGGACGTGGACATGGACGTGGACATGGACGTGGACGTGGACATGGACGTGGACATGGACGTGGACATGGACGTGGACGTGGACATGGACGTGGACGTGGACATGGACGTGGACATGGACGTGGACATGGACGTGGACGTGGACATGGACGTGGACATGGACGTGGACGTGGACGTGGACGTGGACGTGGACGTGGACGTGGACGTGGACGTGGACATGGACGTGGACGTGGACGTGGACATGGACGTGGACGTGGACGTGGACATGGACGTGGACGTGGACGTGGACGTGGACGTGGACGTGGACGTGGACGTGGACATGGACGTGGACGTGGACGTGGACGTGGACATGGACGTGGACGTGGACGTGGACATGGACGTGGACGTGGACATGGTGGACATGGACGTGGACGTGGACGTGGACGTGGACGTGGACGTGGACATGGACGTGGACATGGACGTGGACGTGGACATGGACGTGGACATGGACGTGGACATGGACGTGGACGTGGACATGGACGTGGACATGGACGTGGACGTGGACGTGGACGTGGACGTGGACATGGACGTGGACGTGGACGTGGACGTGGACGTGGACATGGACGTGGACGTGGACATGGACGTGGACGTGGACGTGGACGTGGACATGGACGTGGACGTGGACGTGGACGTGGACATGGACGTGGACATGGACGTGGACATGGACGTGGACGTGGACATGGACGTGGACATGGACGTGGACGTGGACGTGGACGTGGACATGGACGTGGACGTGGACGTGGACATGGACGTGGACGTGGACGTGGACATGGACGTGGACGTGGACGTGGAGGACGTGGACGTGGACATGGACGTGGACGTGGACGTGGACATGGACGTGGACATGGACGTGGACATGGACGTGGACGTGGACATGGACGTGGACATGGACGTGGAGTGGACGTGGACGTGGACGTGGACGTGGACGTGGACGTGGACGTGGACATGGACGTGGACGTGGACGTGGACGTGGACATGGACGTGGACGTGGACGTGGACGTGGACGTGGACGTGGACGTGGACGTGGACATGGACGTGGACGTGGACGTGGACGTGGACATGGACGTGGACGTGGACGTGGACGTGGACATGGACGTGGACATGGACGTGGACGTGGACATGGACGTGGACATGGACGTGGACGTGGACGTGGACATGGACGTGGACGTGGACGTGGACGTGGACATGGACGTGGACGTGGACGTGGACATGGACGTGGACGTGGACGTGGACGTGGACATGGACGTGGACATGGACGTGGACATGGACGTGGACGTGGACATGGACGTGGACATGGACGTGGACATGGACGTGGACGTGGACATGGACGTGGACATGGACGTGGACGTGGACGTGGACGTGGACGTGGACATGGACGTGGACGTGGACGTGGACGTGGACGTGGACGTGGACGTGGACATGGACATGGACGTGGACGTGGACATGGACGTGGACGTGGACGTGGACGTGGACATGGACGTGGACGTGGACGTGGACATGGACGTGGACATGGACGTGGACATGGACGTGGACGTGGACATGGACGTGGACATGGACGTGGACGTGGACGTGGACGTGGACATGGACGTGGACATGGACGTGGATGGACGTGGACATGGACGTGGACGTGGACATGGACGTGGACATGGACGTGGACGTGGACATGGACGTGGACGTGGACATGGACGTGGACATGGACGTGGACATGGACGTGGACGTGGACATGGACGTGGACATGGACGTGGACGTGGACATGGACGTGGACATGGACGTGGACGTGGACGTGGACGTGGACGTGGACGTGGACGTGGACGTGGACGTGGACGTGGACATGGACGTGGACGTGGACGTGGACATGGACGTGGACGTGGACGTGGAGGACTTGGACGTGGACATGGACGTGGACGTGGACGTGGACGTGGACATGGACGTGGACTGGACGTGGACATGGACGTGGACATGGACGTGGATGGACGTGGACGTGGACATGGACGTGGACGTGGACATGGACGTGGACATGGACGTGGACGTGGACGTGGACGTGGACATGGACGTGGACGTGGACGTGGACGTGGACGTGGACGTGGACGTGGACGTGGACATGGACGTGGACGTGGACGTGGACGTGGACATGGACGTGGACATGGACGTGGACATGGACGTGGACGTGGACATGGACGTGGACATGGACGTGGACGTGGACGTGGACGTGGACGTGGACGTGGACGTGGACGTGGACGTGGACGTGGACTGGACGTGGACATGGACGTGGACATGGACGTGGACGTGGACGTGGACGTGGACATGGACGTGGACGTGGACGTGGACGTGGACGTGGACGTGGACGTGGACGTGGACATGGACGTGGACGTGGACGTGGACGTGGACATGGACGTGGACGTGGACGTGGACATGGACGTGGACATGGACGTGGACGTGGACATGGACGTGGACATGGACGTGGACGTGGACGTGGACATGGACGTGGACGTGGACGTGGACGTGGACATGGACGTGGACGTGGACGTGGACATGGACGTGGACGTGGACGTGGACGTGGACATGGACGTGGACATGGACGTGGACATGGACGTGGACGTGGACATGGACGTGGACATGGACGTGGACATGGACGTGGACGTGGACATGGACGTGGACATGGACGTGGACGTGGACGTGGACGTGGACGTGGACATGGACGTGGACGTGGACGTGGACGTGGACGTGGACGTGGACATGGACATGGACGTGGACGTGGACATGGACGTGGACGTGGACGTGGACGTGGACATGGACGTGGACGTGGACGTGGACATGGACGTGGACATGGACGTGGACATGGACGTGGACGTGGACATGGACGTGGACATGGACGTGGACGTGGACGTGGACGTGGACATGGACGTGGACATGGACGTGGACATGGACGTGGACATGGACGTGGACGTGGACATGGACGTGGACATGGACGTGGACGTGGACATGGACGTGGACGTGGACATGGACGTGGACATGGACGTGGACGTGGACATGGACGTGGACATGGACGTGGACATGGACGTGGACGTGGACATGGACGTGGACATGGACGTGGACGTGGACGTGGACGTGGACGTGGACGTGGACGTGGACGTGGACGTGGACGTGGACATGGACGTGGACGTGGACGTGGACATGGACGTGGACGTGGACGTGGAGAACGTGGACGTGGACATGGACGTGGACGTGGACGTGGACGTGGACATGGACGTGGACATGGACGTGGACATGGACGTGGACGTGGACGTGGACGTGGACATGGACGTGGACGTGGACATGGACGTGGACATGGACGTGGACGTGGACGTGGACGTGGACGTGGACATGGACGTGGACGTGGACATGGACGTGGACGTGGACGTGGACGTGGACGGACGTGGACGTGGACGTGGACGTGGACGTGGACATGGACGTGGACATGGACGTGGACATGGACGTGGACGTGGACATGGACGTGGACATGGACGTGGACGTGGACGTGGACGTGGACGTGGACGTGGACGTGGACGTGGACGTGGACGTGGACGTGGACATGGACGTGGACGTGGACGTGGACATGGACGTGGACGTGGACGTGGACGGACGTGGACGTGGACATGGACGTGGACGTGGACGTGGACGTGGACATGGACGTGGACATGGACGTGGACATGGACGTGGACGTGGACGTGGACGTGGACATGGACGTGGACGTGGACGTGGACGTGGACGTGGACGTGGACGTGGACGTGGACGTGGACGTGGACGTGGACGTGGACGTGGACGTGGACGTGGACGTGGACGTGGACGTGGACGTGGACGTGGACGTGGACGTGGACGTGGACATGGACGTGGACATGGACGTGGACGTGGACGTGGACGTGGACATGGACATGGACGTGGACGTGGACGTGGACGTGGACGTGGACGTGGACGTGGACATGGACGTGGACGTGGACGTGGACGTGGACATGGACGTGGACGTGGACGTGGACATGGACGTGGACGTGGACGTGGAGGACGTGGACGTGGACATGGACGTGGACGTGGACGTGGACATGGACGTGGACATGGACGTGGACATGGACGTGGACGTGGACGTGGACGTGGACATGGACGTGGACATGGACGTGGACATGGACGTGGACATGGACGTGGACATGGACGTGGACGTGGACGTGGACATGGACGTGGACGTGGACGTGGACGTGGACATGGACGTGGACGTGGACGTGGACGTGGACGTGGACATGGACGTGGACGTGGACGTGGACGTGGACGTGGACGTGGACATGGACATGGACGTGGACGTGGACGTGGACGTGGACATGGACGTGGACGTGGACGTGGACGTGGACATGGACGTGGACGTGGACGTGGACGTGGACATGGACGTGGACGTGGACGTGGACGTGGACATGGACGTGGACGTGGACGTGGACGTGGACATGGACGTGGACGTGGACGTGGACATGGACGTGGACATGGACGTGGACATGGACGTGGACGTGGACGTGGACATGGACATGGACGTGGACGTGGACGTGGACATGGACGTGGACGTGGACGTGGACGTGGACGTGGACATGGACGTGGACGTGGACGTGGACGTGGACGTGGACGTGGACATGGACGTGGACGTGGACGTGGACGTGGACGTGGACGTGGACGTGGACGTGGACATGGACGTGGACATGGACGTGGACATGGACGTGGACGTGGACGTGGACGTGGACATGGACGTGGACGTGGACGTGGACATGGACATGGACGTGGACGTGGACGTGGACATGGACGTGGACGTGGACGTGGACATGGACGTGGACATGGACGTGGACGTGGACGTGGACGTGGACGTGGACGTGGACATGGACGTGGACGTGGACGTGGACGTGGACATGGACGTGGACGTGGACGTGGACATGGACGTGGACGTGGACGTGGACGTGGACGTGGACGTGGACATGGACGTGGACATGGACGTGGACGTGGACGTGGACGTGGACATGGACGTGGACGTGGACGTGGACGTGGACATGGACGTGGACGTGGACGTGGACATGGACGTGGACGTGGACGTGGACGTGGACGTGGACATGGACGTGGACGTGGACGTGGACGTGGACATGGACGTGGACATGGACGTGGACATGGACATGGACGTGGACATGGACGTGGACATGGACGTGGACGTGGACGTGGACGTGGACATGGACGTGGACGTGGACGTGGACGTGGACATGGACGTGGACGTGGACGTGGACATGGACGTGGACGTGGACGTGGACGTGGACGTGGACATGGACGTGGACGTGGACGTGGACGTGGACATGGACGTGGACATGGACGTGGACGTGGACGTGGACGTGGACGTGGACGTGGACATGGACGTGGACGTGGACGTGGACGTGGACATGGACGTGGACGTGGACGTGGACATGGACGTGGACGTGGACGTGGACATGGACGTGGACGTGGACATGGACGTGGACATGGACGTGGACGTGGACATGGACGTGGACGTGGACGTGGACGTGGACGTGGACGTGGACATGGACGTGGACGTGGACGTGGACGTGGACATGGACGTGGACGTGGACGTGGACATGGACGTGGACGTGGACGTGGAGGACGTGGACGTGGACATGGACGTGGACGTGGACGTGGACGTGGACATGGACGTGGACATGGACGTGGACATGGACGTGGACGTGGACATGGACGTGGACATGGACGTGGACGTGGACATGGACGTGGACATGGACGTGGACGTGGACGTGGACGTGGACATGGACGTGGACGTGGACGTGGACATGGACGTGGACATGGACGTGGACATGGACGTGGACGTGGACGTGGACGTGGACGTGGACGTGGACGTGGACGTGGACGTGGACGTGGACGTGGACGTGGACGTGGACGTGGACGTGGACGTGGACGTGGACGTGGACATGGACGTGGACGTGGACGTGGACATGGACGTGGACGTGGACATGGACGTGGACGTGGACGTGGACATGGACGTGGACATGGACGTGGACGTGGACGTGGACGTGGACGTGGACGTGGACATGGACGTGGACGTGGACGTGGACATGGACGTGGACGTGGACGTGGACATGGACGTGGACGTGGACGTGGACGTGGACGTGGACGTGGACATGGACGTGGACGTGGACGTGGACGTGGACATGGACGTGGACATGGACGTGGACGTGGACGTGGACGTGGACATGGACGTGGACGTGGACATGGACGTGGACATGGACGTGGACGTGGACGTGGACGTGGACATGGACGTGGACGTGGACGTGGACATGGACGTGGACATGGACGTGGACATGGACGTGGACGTGGACGTGGACATGGACGTGGACGTGGACGTGGACGTGGACGTGGACATGGACGTGGACGTGGACGTGGACGTGGACGTGGACGTGGACATGGACGTGGACGTGGACGTGGACGTGGACGTGGACATGGACGTGGACGTGGACGTGGACGTGGACGTGGACGTGGACATGGACGTGGACATGGACGTGGACGTGGACGTGGACATGGACGTGGACGTGGACGTGGACGTGGACGTGGACGTGGACGTGGACGTGGACATGGACGTGGACGTGGACGTGGACGTGGACATGGACGTGGACGTGGACGTGGACGTGGACGTGGACGTGGACGTGGACATGGACGTGGACGTGGACGTGGACATGGACGTGGACGTGGACGTGGACATGGACGTGGACGTGGACATGGACGTGGACATGGACGTGGACGTGGACGTGGACGTGGACATGGACGTGGACGTGGACGTGGACGTGGACATGGACGTGGACGTGGACGTGGACATGGACGTGGACGTGGACGTGGAGGACGTGGACGTGGACATGGACGTGGACGTGGACGTGGACGTGGACATGGACGTGGACATGGACGTGGACATGGACATGGACGTGGACATGGACGTGGACGTGGACGTGGACGTGGACGTGGACGTGGACATGGACGTGGACGTGGACGTGGACGTGGACATGGACGTGGACGTGGACGTGGACGTGGACATGGACGTGGACGTGGACGTGGACGTGGACATGGACGTGGACGTGGACGTGGACGTGGACATGGACGTGGACATGGACGTGGACATGGACGTGGACGTGGACATGGACGTGGACATGGACGTGGACGTGGACGTGGACGTGGACATGGACGTGGACGTGGACGTGGACATGGACGTGGACGTGGACGTGGACATGGACGTGGACGTGGACGTGGAGTGGACGTGGACGTGGACATGGACGTGGACGTGGACGTGGACGTGGACATGGACGTGGACATGGACGTGGACATGGACGTGGACGTGGACATGGACGTGGACATGGACGTGGACATGGACGTGGACATGGACGTGGACGTGGACGTGGACGTGGACATGGACGTGGACGTGGACGTGGACATGGACGTGGACATGGACGTGGACATGGACGTGGACGTGGACGTGGACATGGACGTGGACGTGGACGTGGACGTGGACGTGGACGTGGACGTGGACGTGGACGTGGAGGACGTGGACGTGGACATGGACGTGGACGTGGACGTGGACGTGGACATGGACGTGGACATGGACGTGGACATGGACGTGGACGTGGACGTGGACATGGACGTGGACGTGGACGTGGACGTGGACATGGACGTGGACGTGGACGTGGACGTGGACATGGACGTGGACGGACGTGGACGTGGACATGGACGTGGACGTGGACGTGGACGTGGACATGGACGTGGACATGGACGTGGACGTGGACGTGGACGTGGACATGGACGTGGACATGGACGTGGACGTGGACGTGGACGTGGACGTGGACGTGGACATGGACGTGGACGTGGACGTGGACGTGGACATGGACGTGGACGTGGACATGGACGTGGACGTGGACGTGGACATGGACGTGGACGTGGACGTGGACATGGACGTGGACGTGGACGTGGACATGGACGTGGACGTGGACGTGGACGTGGACGTGGACGTGGACGTGGACGTGGACGTGGACGTGGACGTGGACGTGGACGTGGACGTGGACGTGGACGTGGACGTGGACGTGGACATGGACGTGGACGTGGACGTGGACATGGACGTGGACGTGGACATGGACGTGGACGTGGACGTGGACATGGACGTGGACATGGACGTGGACGTGGACGTGGACGTGGACGTGGACGTGGACATGGACGTGGACGTGGACGTGGACATGGACGTGGACGTGGACGTGGACATGGACGTGGACGTGGACGTGGAGGACTTGGACGTGGACATGGACGTGGACGTGGACGTGGACGTGGACATGGACGTGGACATGGACGTGGACATGGACGTGGACGTGGACATGGACGTGGACGTGGACATGGACGTGGACATGGACGTGGACGTGGACGTGGACGTGGACATGGACGTGGACGTGGACGTGGACATGGACGTGGACATGGACGTGGACATGGACGTGGACGTGGACGTGGACATGGACGTGGACGTGGACGTGGACGTGGACGTGGACATGGACGTGGACGTGGACGTGGACGTGGACGTGGACGTGGACATGGACGTGGACGTGGACGTGGACGTGGACGTGGACATGGACGTGGACGTGGACGTGGACGTGGACGTGGACGTGGACATGGACGTGGACATGGACGTGGACGTGGACGTGGACATGGACGTGGACGTGGACGTGGACGTGGACGTGGACGTGGACGTGGACGTGGACATGGACGTGGACGTGGACGTGGACGTGGACATGGACGTGGACGTGGACGTGGACGTGGACGTGGACGTGGACGTGGACATGGACGTGGACGTGGACGTGGACATGGACGTGGACGTGGACGTGGACATGGACGTGGACGTGGACATGGACGTGGACATGGACGTGGACGTGGACGTGGACGTGGACATGGACGTGGACGTGGACGTGGACGTGGACATGGACGTGGACGTGGACGTGGACATGGACGTGGACGTGGACGTGGAGGACGTGGACGTGGACATGGACGTGGACGTGGACGTGGACGTGGACATGGACGTGGACATGGACGTGGACATGGACATGGACGTGGACATGGACGTGGACGTGGACGTGGACGTGGACGTGGACGTGGACATGGACGTGGACGTGGACGTGGACGTGGACATGGACGTGGACGTGGACGTGGACGTGGACATGGACGTGGACGTGGACGTGGACGTGGACATGGACGTGGACGTGGACGTGGACGTGGACATGGACGTGGACATGGACGTGGACATGGACGTGGACGTGGACATGGACGTGGACATGGACGTGGACGTGGACGTGGACGTGGACATGGACGTGGACGTGGACGTGGACATGGACGTGGACGTGGACGTGGACATGGACGTGGACGTGGACGTGGACGTGGACGTGGACATGGACGTGGACGTGGACGTGGACGTGGACATGGACGTGGACATGGACGTGGACATGGACGTGGACGTGGACATGGACGTGGACATGGACGTGGACATGGACGTGGACATGGACGTGGACGTGGACGTGGACGTGGACATGGACGTGGACGTGGACGTGGACATGGACGTGGACATGGACGTGGACATGGACGTGGACGTGGACGTGGACATGGACGTGGACGTGGACGTGGACGTGGACATGGACGTGGACGTGGACGTGGACGTGGAGGACGTGGACGTGGACATGGACGTGGACGTGGACGTGGACGTGGACATGGACGTGGACATGGACGTGGACATGGACGTGGACGTGGACGTGGACATGGACGTGGACGTGGACGTGGACGTGGACATGGACGTGGACGTGGACGTGGACATGGACATGGACGTGGAGGACTTGGACATGGACATGGACGTGGACGTGGACGTGGACGTGGACATGGACGTGGACATGGACGTGGACGTGGACGTGGACGTGGACATGGACGTGGACATGGACGTGGACGTGGACGTGGACGTGGACGTGGACGTGGACATGGACGTGGACGTGGACGTGGACGTGGACATGGACGTGGACGTGGACATGGACGTGGACGTGGACGTGGACATGGACGTGGACGTGGACGTGGACATGGACGTGGACGTGGACGTGGACATGGACGTGGACGTGGACGTGGAGGACGTGGACGTGGACATGGACGTGGACGTGGACGTGGACGTGGACGTGGACATGGACGTGGACATGGACGTGGACATGGACGTGGACATGGACGTGGACATGGACGTGGACGTGGACGTGGACGTGGACATGGACGTGGACGTGGACGTGGACGTGGACATGGACGTGGACATGGACGTGGACATGGACGTGGACGTGGACATGGACGTGGACATGGACGTGGACGTGGACATGGACGTGGACATGGACGTGGACGTGGACGTGGACGTGGACGTGGACATGGACGTGGACGTGGACGTGGACATGGACGTGGACATGGACGTGGATGGACGTGGACGTGGACGTGGACGTGGACGTGGACGTGGACGTGGACGTGGACGTGGACGTGGACGTGGACGTGGACGTGGACGTGGACGTGGACGTGGACATGGACGTGGACGTGGACGTGGACATGGACGTGGACGTGGACATGGACGTGGACGTGGACGTGGACATGGACGTGGACATGGACGTGGACGTGGACGTGGACGTGGACGTGGACGTGGACATGGACGTGGACGTGGACGTGGACGTGGACATGGACGTGGACGTGGACGTGGACATGGACGTGGACGTGGACGTGGAGGACTTGGACGTGGACATGGACGTGGACGTGGACGTGGACGTGGACATGGACGTGGACATGGACGTGGACATGGACGTGGACGTGGACATGGACGTGGACGTGGACATGGACGTGGACATGGACGTGGACGTGGACGTGGACGTGGACATGGACGTGGACGTGGACGTGGACGTGGACATGGACGTGGACATGGACGTGGACATGGACGTGGACGTGGACGTGGACATGGACGTGGACGTGGACGTGGACGTGGACATGGACGTGGACGTGGACGTGGACGTGGACGTGGACGTGGACGTGGACATGGACGTGGACGTGGACGTGGACGTGGACGTGGACATGGACGTGGACGTGGACGTGGACGTGGACGTGGACGTGGACGTGGACATGGACGTGGACATGGACGTGGACGTGGACGTGGACATGGACGTGGACGTGGACGTGGACGTGGACGTGGACGTGGACGTGGACGTGGACGTGGACATGGACGTGGACGTGGACGTGGACGTGGACATGGACGTGGACGTGGACGTGGACGTGGACGTGGACGTGGACGTGGACATGGACGTGGACATGGACGTGGACATGGACGTGGACGTGGACGTGGACATGGACGTGGACGTGGACATGGACGTGGACATGGACGTGGACGTGGACGTGGACGTGGACATGGACGTGGACGTGGACGTGGACGTGGACATGGACGTGGACGTGGACGTGGACATGGACGTGGACGTGGACGTGGAGGACGTGGACGTGGACATGGACGTGGACGTGGACGTGGACGTGGACATGGACGTGGACATGGACGTGGACATGGACATGGACGTGGACATGGACGTGGACGTGGACGTGGACGTGGACGTGGACGTGGACATGGACGTGGACGTGGACGTGGACGTGGACATGGACGTGGACGTGGACGTGGACATGGACGTGGACGTGGACGTGGACGTGGACATGGACGTGGACGTGGACGTGGACGTGGACATGGACGTGGACATGGACGTGGACATGGACGTGGACGTGGACATGGACGTGGACATGGACGTGGACGTGGACGTGGACGTGGACGTGGACATGGACGTGGACGTGGACGTGGACATGGACGTGGACGTGGACGTGGACATGGACGTGGACGTGGACGTGGAGGGACGTGGACATGGACGTGGACGTGGACGTGGACGTGGACGTGGACGTGGACGTGGACGTGGACATGGACGTGGACGTGGACATGGACGTGGACATGGACGTGGACATGGACGTGGACATGGACGTGGACGTGGACGTGGACGTGGACATGGACGTGGACGTGGACGTGGACATGGACGTGGACGTGGACGTGGACATGGACGTGGACGTGGACGTGGACATGGACGTGGACGTGGACGTGGACGTGGACGTGGACGTGGACGTGGACGTGGACGTGGACATGGACGTGGACGTGGACGTGGACGTGGACGTGGACGTGGAGGACGTGGACGTGGACATGGACGTGGACGTGGACGTGGACGTGGACATGGACGTGGACATGGACGTGGACGTGGACGTGGACATGGACGTGGACGTGGACGTGGACGTGGACATGGACGTGGACGTGGACGTGGACATGGACATGGACGTGGAGGACTTGGACGTGGACATGGACGTGGACGTGGACGTGGACATGGACGTGGACATGGACGTGGACGTGGACGTGGACATGGACGTGGACATGGACGTGGACATGGACGTGGACGTGGACGTGGACGTGGACATGGACGTGGACATGGACGTGGACGTGGACGTGGACGTGGACGTGGACGTGGACGTGGACATGGACGTGGACGTGGACGTGGACATGGACGTGGACATGGACGTGGACGTGGACGTGGACGTGGACATGGACATGGACGTGGAGGACTTGGACGTGGACATGGACGTGGACATGGACGTGGACGTGGACGTGGACATGGACGTGGACATGGACGTGGACGTGGACGTGGACGTGGACATGGACGTGGACATGGACGTGGACGTGGACGTGGACGTGGACGTGGACGTGGACGTGGACATGGACGTGGACGTGGACGTGGACGTGGACATGGACGTGGACGTGGACGTGGACGTGGACGTGGACGTGGACATGGACGTGGACGTGGACGTGGACATGGACGTGGACGTGGACGTGGACATGGACGTGGACGTGGACGTGGAGGACGTGGACGTGGACATGGACGTGGACGTGGACGTGGACGTGGACGTGGACATGGACGTGGACATGGACGTGGACATGGACGTGGACATGGACGTGGACATGGACGTGGACGTGGACGTGGACGTGGACATGGACGTGGACGTGGACGTGGACGTGGACGTGGACGTGGACGTGGACGTGGACATGGACGTGGACGTGGACGTGGACGTGGACGTGGACATGGACGTGGACGTGGACGTGGACGTGGACGTGGACGTGGACGTGGACGTGGACGTGGACATGGACGTGGACATGGACGTGGACATGGACGTGGACGTGGACGTGGACATGGACGTGGACATGGACGTGGACGTGGACATGGACGTGGACATGGACGTGGACGTGGACGTGGACGTGGACGTGGACATGGACGTGGACGTGGACGTGGACGTGGACATGGACGTGGACGTGGACGTGGACATGGACGTGGACGTGGACGTGGAGGACGTGGACGTGGACATGGACGTGGACGTGGACGTGGACGTGGACATGGACGTGGACATGGACGTGGACATGGACGTGGACGTGGACATGGACGTGGACATGGACGTGGACATGGACGTGGACATGGACGTGGACGTGGACGTGGACATGGACGTGGACGTGGACATGGACATGGACGTGGACATGGACGTGGACATGGACGTGGACGTGGACGTGGACATGGACGTGGACGTGGACGTGGACGTGGACATGGACGTGGACGTGGACGTGGAGGACGTGGACGTGGACATGGACGTGGACGTGGACGTGGACGTGGACATGGACGTGGACATGGACGTGGACATGGACGTGGACGTGGACATGGACGTGGACATGGACGTGGACGTGGACGTGGACGTGGACGTGGACATGGACGTGGACGTGGACGTGGACGTGGACATGGACGTGGACATGGACGTGGACGTGGACATGGACGTGGACATGGACGTGGACGTGGACGTGGACGTGGACGTGGACATGGACGTGGACGTGGACGTGGACATGGACGTGGACGTGGACGTGGACATGGACGTGGACGTGGACGTGGAGGACGTGGACATGGACATGGACGTGGACGTGGACATGGACGTGGACGTGGACATGGACGTGGACATGGACGTGGACATGGACGTGGACGTGGACATGGACGTGGACATGGACGTGGACATGGACGTGGACGTGGACATGGACGTGGACGTGGACGTGGACGTGGACATGGACGTGGACGTGGACGTGGACATGGACATGGACGTGGACGTGGACGTGGACGTGGACATGGACGTGGACGTGGACGTGGACGTGGACGTGGACATGGACGTGGACGTGGACATGGACGTGGACATGGACGTGGACGTGGACGTGGACGTGGACGTGGACGTGGACATGGACGTGGACGTGGACGTGGACGTGGACATGGACGTGGACGTGGACATGGACGTGGACATGGACGTGGACGTGGACGTGGACATGGACGTGGACGTGGACGTGGAGGACTTGGACGTGGACGTGGACGTGGACGTGGACGTGGACGTGGACGTGGACATGGACGTGGACGTGGACGTGGACGTGGACGTGGACGTGGACATGGACGTGGACGTGGACGTGGACGTGGACATGGACATGGACGTGGACATGGACGTGGACATGGACGTGGACGTGGACATGGACGTGGACGTGGACGTGGACGTGGACGTGGACGTGGACGTGGACGTGGACGTGGACGTGGACGTGGACGTGGACGTGGACGTGGACGTGGACGTGGACGTGGACGTGGACGTGGACATGGACGTGGACGTGGACGTGGACGTGGACATGGACGTGGACATGGACGTGGACGTGGACGTGGACTTGGACGTGGACATGGACGTGGACGTGGACGTGGACGTGGACATGGACGTGGACATGGACGTGGACGTGGACGTGGACGTGGACATGGACGTGGACATGGACGTGGACGTGGACATGGACGTGGACGTGGACGTGGACATGGACGTGGACATGGACGTGGACGTGGACGTGGACATGGACGTGGACGTGGACGTGGACATGGACGTGGACGTGGACGTGGACGTGGACATGGACGTGGACGTGGACGTGGACATGGACGTGGACGTGGACGTGGACGTGGACATGGACGTGGACGTGGACATGGACGTGGACGTGGACCTGGAGGACGTGGACGTGGACATGGACGTGGACGTGGACGTGGACGTGGACATGGACGTGGACATGGACGTGGACATGGACGTGGACGTGGACATGGACGTGGACATGGACGTGGACGTGGACGTGGACGTGGACATGGACGTGGACGTGGACGTGGACGTGGACGTGGACATGGACGTGGACGTGGACGTGGACATGGACATGGACGTGGACGTGGAGGACTTGGACGTGGACATGGACGTGGACGTGGACGTGGACGTGGACGTGGACGTGGACATGGACGTGGACATGGACGTGGACATGGACGTGGACGTGGACATGGACGTGGACATGGACGTGGACATGGACGTGGACATGGACGTGGACGTGGACGTGGACATGGACGTGGACGTGGACGTGGACCTGGACGTGGACGTGGACATGGACGTGGACGTGGACGTGGACATGGACATGGACGTGGACGTGGACATGGACGTGGACATGGACGTGGACGTGGACGTGGACATGGACGTGGACGTGGACGTGGACGTGGACATGGACGTGGACGTGGACATGGACGTGGACGTGGACGTGGACGTGGACGTGGACATGGACGTGGACGTGGACGTGGACATGGACGTGGACGTGGACGTGGAGGACTGGACGTGGACATGGACGTGGACGTGGACGTGGACGTGGACATGGACGTGGACATGGACGTGGACATGGACGTGGACATGGACGTGGACATGGACGTGGACGTGGACGTGGACGTGGACGTGGACATGGACGTGGACGTGGACGTGGACGTGGACGTGGACATGGACGTGGACGTGGACGTGGACATGGACATGGACGTGGACGTGGAGGACGTGGACGTGGACATGGACGTGGACGTGGACGTGGACGTGGACATGGACGTGGACATGGACGTGGACATGGACGTGGACGTGGACATGGACGTGGACATGGACGTGGACATGGACGTGGACATGGACGTGGACGTGGACGTGGACATGGACGTGGACGTGGACGTGGACATGGACGTGGACGTGGACGTGGACGTGGACATGGACGTGGACGTGGACGTGGACGTGGACGTGGACGTGGACGTGGACATGGACGTGGACATGGACGTGGACATGGACGTGGACATGGACGTGGACATGGACATGGACGTGGACGTGGACGTGGACGTGGACATGGACGTGGACGTGGACGTGGACGTGGACGTGGACGTGGACGTGGACATGGACGTGGACGTGGACGTGGACATGGACGTGGACATGGACGTGGACGTGGACGTGGACATGGACGTGGACGTGGACGTGGACATGGACGTGGACGTGGACATGGACATGGACGTGGACGTGGACGTGGACGTGGACGTGGACGTGGACATGGACGTGGACGTGGACATGGACGTGGACGTGGACGTGGAGGACTTGGACGTGGACATGGACGTGGACGTGGACGTGGACGTGGACATGGACATGGACGTGGACATGGACATGGACGTGGACGTGGACATGGACGTGGACGTGGACGTGGACGTGGACGTGGACGTGGACGTGGACATGGACGTGGACGTGGACGTGGACATGGACGTGGACATGGACGTGGACGTGGACGTGGACATGGACGTGGACGTGGACGTGGACATGGACGTGGACGTGGACGTGGACATGGACTTGGACGTGGACGTGGACGTGGACGTGGACGTGGACGTGGACGTGGACATGGACATGGACGTGGACATGGACGTGGACGTGGACGTGGAGGACTTGGACGTGGACATGGACGTGGACGTGGACGTGGACGTGGACATGGACATGGACGTGGACTTGGACGTGGACGTGGACATGGACATGGACATGGACATGGACATGGACGTGGACGTGGACGTGGACGTGGACGTGGACGTGGACATGGACGTGGACGTGGACGTGGACGTGGACATGGACGTGGACGTGGACGTGGAGGACTTGGACGTGGACATGGACGTGGACGTGGACGTGGACATGGACGTGGACATGGACGTGGACATGGACGTGGACGTGGACATGGACGTGGACATGGACGTGGACATGGACGTGGACATGGACGTGGACGTGGACATGGACGTGGACGTGGACGTGGACATGGACGTGGACGTGGAAGGGACGTGGACGTGGACATGGACGTGGACGTGGACGTGGACGTGGACGTGGACATGGACGTGGACGTGGACGTGGACGTGGACGTGGACGTGGACGTGGACGTGGACATGGACGTGGACGTGGACGTGGACGTGGACGTGGACGTGGACGTGGACGTGGACATGGACGTGGACGTGGACATGGACGTGGACGTGGACGTGGACGTGGACGTGGACGTGGACGTGGACATGGACGTGGACGTGGACATGGACATGGACGTGGACATGGACGTGGACGTGGACGTGGACGTGGACGTGGACGTGGACGTGGACATGGACGTGGACGTGGACGTGGACATGGACGTGGACGTGGACGTGGACGTGGACATGGACGTGGACGTGGACATGGACGTGGACGTGGACGTGGACATGGACGTGGACGTGGACATGGACGTGGACGTGGACGTGGACGTGGACGTGGACGTGGACATGGACGTGGACATGGACGTGGACATGGACATGGACGTGGACATGGACGTGGAGGACTTGGACGTGGACATGGACGTGGACGTGGACGTGGACGTGGACGTGGACATGGACGTGGACGTGGACGTGGACGTGGACATGGACGTGGACGTGGACGTGGACGTGGACATGGACGTGGACATGGACGTGGACATGGACGTGGACGTGGACGTGGACATGGACGTGGACATGGACGTGGACGTGGACGTGGACGTGGACGTGGACATGGACGTGGACGTGGACGTGGACGTGGACGTGGACATGGACGTGGACATGGACGTGGACATGGACGTGGACGTGGACATGGACGTGGACGTGGACGTGGACGTGGACATGGACGTGGACGTGGACGTGGACGTGGACATGGACGTGGACGTGGACGTGGACATGGACGTGGACGTGGACGTGGAGGACTTGGACGTGGACGTGGACGTGGACATGGACGTGGACGTGGACGTGGAGGACTTGGACATGGACGTGGACGTGGACGTGGACGTGGACGTGGACGTGGACGTGGACGTGGACATGGACGTGGACATGGACGTGGACGTGGACGTGGACGTGGACGTGGACATGGACGTGGACGTGGACGTGGACGTGGACGTGGACATGGACGTGGACGTGGACGTGGACGTGGACATGGACGTGGACATGGACGTGGACATGGACGTGGACGTGGACGTGGACGTGGACGTGGACATGGACGTGGACGTGGACGTGGACGTGGACGTGGACATGGACGTGGACGTGGAGGACTTGGACGTGGACGTGGACGTGGACATGGACGTGGACGTGGACGTGGACATGGACGTGGACGTGGACGTGGACATGGACATGGACGTGGACGTGGAGGACTTGGACGTGGACATGGACGTGGACGTGGACGTGGACGTGGACATGGACGTGGACATGGACGTGGACATGGACGTGGACGTGGACATGGACGTGGACATGGACGTGGACATGGACGTGGACGTGGACGTGGACGTGGACATGGACGTGGACGTGGACGTGGACATGGACGTGGACGTGGACGTGGACGTGGACGTGGACGTGGACGTGGACGTGGACGTGGACGTGGATGTGGACGTGGACGTGGACGTGGACGTGGACGTGGACGTGGACGTGGACGTGGACATGGACATGGACGTGGACGTGGACGTGGACATGGACGTGGACATGGACGTGGACGTGGACGTGGACGTGGACATGGACGTGGACGTGGACATGGACGTGGACGTGGACGTGGACGTGGACGTGGACATGGACGTGGACGTGGACGTGGACGTGGACGTGGACATGGACGTGGACGTGGACGTGGACGTGGACGTGGACGTGGACGTGGACATGGACGTGGACGTGGACGTGGACGTGGACGTGGACATGGACGTGGACATGGACGTGGACATGGACGTGGACATGGACGTGGACGTGGACGTGGACGTGGACGTGGACGTGGACATGGACGTGGACGTGGACGTGGACGTGGACGTGGACATGGACGTGGACGTGGACGTGGACATGGACGTGGACGTGGACGTGGACATGGACGTGGACATGGACGTGGACGTGGACGTGGACATGGACGTGGACGTGGACGTGGACATGGACGTGGACGTGGACGTGGAGGACGTGGACGTGGACATGGACGTGGACGTGGACGTGGACGTGGACGTGGACGTGGACATGGACGTGGACATGGACGTGGACGTGGACGTGGACGTGGACATGGACGTGGACATGGACGTGGACGTGGACATGGACGTGGACATGGACGTGGACGTGGACGTGGACATGGACATGGACGTGGACGTGGACGTGGACGTGGACGTGGACATGGACGTGGACGTGGACGTGGACATGGACGTGGACGTGGACGTGGACATGGACGTGGACGAGGACGTGGAGGACTTGGACGTGGACATGGACGTGGACGTGGACGTGGACGTGGACGTGGACGTGGACGTGGACATGGACGTGGACGTGGACGTGGACGTGGACGTGGACATGGACGTGGACGTGGACGTGGACGTGGACGTGGACATGGACGTGGACGTGGACGTGGACGTGGACATGGACGTGGACGTGGACGTGGACGTGGACGTGGACGTGGACATGGACGTGGACGTGGACATGGACGTGGACGTGGACGTGGACATGGACATGGACGTGGACATGGACGTGGACGTGGACGTGGAGGACTTGGACGTGGACATGGACGTGGACGTGGACGTGGACGTGGACGTGGACGTGGACGTGGACGTGGACGTGGACGTGGACGTGGACGTGGACGTGGACATGGACGTGGACGTGGACGTGGAGGACGTGGACGTGGACATGGACGTGGACGTGGACGTGGACATGGACGTGGACGTGGACATGGACGTGGACGTGGACGTGGACGTGGACATGGACGTGGACATGGACGTGGACATGGACGTGGACGTGGACATGGACGTGGACATGGACTTGGACGTGGACGTGGACATGGACGTGGACATGGACGTGGACGTGGACGTGGACATGGACGTGGACGTGGACATGGACGTGGACGTGGACATGGACGTGGACGTGGACGTGGACGTGGACGTGGACATGGACGTGGACGTGGATGTGGACGTGGACGTGGACATGGACGTGGACCTGGACGTGGACGTGGACGTGGACGTGGACGTGGACGTGGATATGGACGTGGACGTGGACGTGGACGTGGACATGGACGTGGACATGGACGTGGACATGGACGTGGACATGGACGTGGACGTGGACGTGGACGTGGACGTGGACGTGGACATGGACGTGGACGTGGACGTGGACGTGGACGTGAACATGGACGTGGACGTGGACATGGACGTGGACGTGGACATGGACGTGGACATGGACGTGGACGTGGACGTGGACATGGACGTGGACGTGGACGTGGACGTGGACGTGGACATGGACGTGGACGTGGACGTGGAGGACTTGGACGTGGACATGGACGTGGACGTGGACGTGGAGGTGGACGTGGACGTGGACGTGGACGTGGATATGGACGTGGACGTGGACGTGGACGTGGACATGGACGTGGACATGGACGTGGACGTGGACATGGACGTGGACATGGACGTGGACGTGGACGTGGACGTGGACGTGGACATGGACGTGGACGTGGACGTGGACGTGGACGTGGACATGGACGTGGACGTGGACGTGGACATGGACGTGGACGTGGACGTGGACATGGACGTGGACGTGGACGTGGAGGACTTGGACGTGGACATGGACGTGGACGTGGACGTGGACGTGGACGTGAACGTGGACGTGGACATGGACGTGGACGTGGACGTGGACGTGACATGGACGTGGATGTGGACGTGGACGTGGACGTGGACATGGACGTGGACGTGGACGTGGACGTGGACGTGGACATGGACGTGGACGTGGACGTGGACGTGGACGTGGACGTGGACATGGACGTGGACGTGGACATGGACGTGGACGTGGACATGGACATGGACGTGGACATGGACGTGGACGTGGACGTGGAGGACTTGGACGTGGACATGGACGTGGACGTGGACGTGGACGTGGACGTGGACGTGGACGTGGACGTGGACGTGGACGTGGACGTGGACGTGGACGTGGACATGGACGTGGACGTGGACGTGGAGGACTTGGACGTGGACATGGACGTGGACGTGGACGTGGACGTGGACATGGACGTGGACGTGGACATGGACGTGGACGTGGACGTGGACGTGGACATGGACGTGGACATGGACGTGGACATGGACGTGGACGTGGACATGGACGTGGACGTGGACTTGGACGTGGACGTGGACATGGACGTGGACATGGACGTGGACGTGGACGTGGACATGGACGTGGACGTGGACATGGACGTGGACGTGGACGTGGACGTGGACATGGATGTGGACGTGGACGTGGACATGGACGTGAACGTGGACGTGGACATGGACGTGGACGTGGACATGGAGGTGGACGTGGACGTGGACATGGACGTGGACGTGGACATGGACGTGGACATGGACGTGGACGTGGACATGGACGTGGACATGGACGTGGACGTGGACGTGGACATGGACGTGGACGTGGAGGACTTGGACGTGGACATGGACGTGGACGTGGACGTGGACGTGGACGTGGACATGGACGTGGACGTGGACGTGGACGTGGACGTGGACATGGACGTGGACATGGACGTGGACATGGACGTGGACATGGACGTGGACGTGGACGTGGACGTGGACGTGGACGTGGACGTGGACGTGGACGTGGACATGGACGTGGACGTGGACGTGGACGTGGACATGGACGTGGACGTGGACGTGGACATGGACGTGGACGTGGAGGACTTGGACGTGGACATGGACGTGGACATTGACGTGTACATGGACGTGGACGTGGACATGGACATGGACATGGACGTGGACATGGACGTGGACATGGACGTGGACGTGGACATGGACGTGGACATGGACGTGGACATGGACGTGGACATGGACATGGAAGTGGACGTGGACATGGACGTGGACATTGACGTGGACATGGACGTGGACGTGGACATGAACATGGACATGGACGTGGACATGGACGTGGACATGGACGTGGAAGTGGATGTGGACGTGGACATGGACGTGGACGTGTACGTGGACGTGGACATGGACGTGGACGTGGACGTGGACGTGGACGTGGACATGGACGTGGACTTGGACATGGACGTGGACGTGGACATGGACGTAGACGTGGAGGACTTGGACGTGGACATGGACGTGGAGGTGGACGTGGACGTGGACGTGGACATGGACGTGGACATGGACGTGGACATGGACGTGGACGTGGACATGGACGTGGACATGGACGTGGACATGGACGTGGACATGGACGTGGACGTGGAGGTGGACGTGGACCTGGACGTGGACGTCGACGTGGACGTGGACATGGACGTGGACGTGAACGTGGACATGGACGTGGACGTGGACGTGGACGTGGACATGGACGTGGACGTGGACGTGGACGTGGACGTGGACATGGACGTGGACGTGGACGTGGACGTGGACGTGGACGTGGACGGGGATGTGGACGTGGACGTGGACGTGGACGTGGACGTGGACATGGACGTGGACATGGACGTGGACGTGGACATGGACGTGGACATGGACGTGGACGTGGACGTGGACGTGGACATGGACGTGGACGTGGACGTGGACATGGACGTGGACGTGGACGTGGAGGGCTTGGACATGGACATGGACGTGGACGTGGACGTGGACGTGGACGTGGAGGTGGACGTGGACGTGGACGTGGACGTGGACATGGACGTGGACGTGGACGTGGACGTGGACGTGGACGTGGACGTGGACATGGACGTGGACATGGACGTGAACATGGACGTGGACGTGGACGTGGACATGGACATGGACGTGGACATGGACATGGACGTGGACGTGGACGTGGATGTGGACGTGGACATGGACGTGGACATGAACGTGGACGTGGACGTGGACGTGGACATGGACGTGGACGTGGACGTGGACATGGACGTGGACGTGGACGTGGACATGGACGTGGACGTGGACGTGGACGTGGACATGGACGTGGACGTGGACGTGGACGTGGACATGGACGTGGACGTGGACGTGGAGGACTTGGACGTGGACATGGACGTGGACGTGGACATGGACGTGGACATGGACGTGGACATGGACGTGGACGTGGACATGGACGTGGACATGGACGTGGACATGGACGTGGACGTAGACGTGGACGTGGACATGGACGTGGACGTGGACGTGGACATGGACGTGGACATGGACGTGGACGTGGACGTGGACGTGAAAGTGGACATGGACGTGGACGTGGACGTGGAAGTGGACGTGGACGTGGACATGGACGTGGACGTGGACGTGGACGTGGACGTGGACATGGACGTGGACATGGACGTGGACGTGGACATGGACGTGGACGTGGACATGGACATGGACATGGACGTGGACGTGGACGTGAACGTGGACGTGGACGTGGACGTGGACGTGGACGTGGACGTGGATATGGACGTGGACGTGGACGTGGACGTGGACGTGGACGTGGACGTGGACATGGACGTGGACGTGGACGTGGACGTGGACGTGGACGTGGACGTGGACGTGGACATGGACGTGGACGTGGACGTGGACGTGGACATGGACGTGGACGTGGACGTGGACGTGGACGTGGACATGGACGTGGATGTGGACGTGGACGTGGAGGTGGACGTGGACGTGGACGTGGAGGTGGACGTGGACGTGGAGGTGGACGTGGACGTGGACGTGGACGTGGACGTGGACATGGACGTGGACATGGACGTGGACGTGGACGTGGACATGGACGTGGACATGGACGTGGACGTGGACGTGGACGTGGACGTGGACATGGACGTGGACGTGGACGTGGACGTGGACGTGGACATGGACGTGGACGTGGACGTGGACATGGACCTGGACGTGGACGTGAAGGACTTGGACGTGGACATGGACGTGGACGTGGACGTGGACGTGGACGTGGACGTGGACATGGACGTGGACGTGGACGTGGACGTGGACGTGAACATGGACGTGGACGTGGATGTGGATGTGGACGTGGACATGGACATGGACGTGGACGTGGACGTGGACGTGGACATGGACATGGACGTGGTCGTGGACGTGGACGTGGACGTGGACATGGACGTGGACGTGGACATGGACGTGGACGTGGACGTGGACGTGGACGTGGACGTGGACATGGACATGGACGTTGACATGGACGTGGACGTGGACGTGGAGGACTTGGACGTGGACATGGACGTGGACGTGGACGTGGACGTGGACGTGGACGTGGACGTGGACGTGGACGTGGACATGGTCGTGGACGTGGACGTGGAGGACTTGGATGTGGACATGGACGTGGACGTGGACGTGGAGGTGGATATGGACGTGGACGTGGACGTGGACGTGGACATGGACGTGGACATGGACGTGGACGTGGACATGGACGTGGACATGGACATGGACATGGACGTGGACGTGGACATGGACGTGGACGTGGACGTGGACATGGACGTGGACGTGGACGTGGACGTGGACATGGACGTGGACGTGGACGTGGACATGGACGTGGACGTGGACGTGGACATGGACGTGGACGTGGACGTGGAGGACTTGGACGTGGACATGGACGTGGACGTGGACGTGGAGGTGGACGTGGACGTGTACATGGACATGGACGTGGACGTGGACGTGGACGTGGACGTGGACGTGAACGTGGACGTGGACGTGGACGTGGACGTGGACATGGACGTGGACTTGGACGTGGACATGGACGTGGACGTGGACGTGGAGGTGGACGAGGACGTGGACGTGGACATGGACGTGGACGTTGACGTGGACGTGGACGTGGACATGGACGTGGACGTGGACGTGGACATGGACGTGGACGTGGACGTGGACGCGGACGCGGACGTGGACGTGGACGTGGACGTGGACGCGGACGTGGACGTGGACGTGGACGTGGACGTGGACGGGGACGTGGACGTGGACGTGGACCAGGACCTGGACGTGGACGTGGACGTGGACGTGGACATGGACGTGGACATGGACGTGGACGTGGACGTGGACGTGGACATGGACGTGGACGTGGACGTGGACGTGGACATGGACGTGGACGTGGACGTGGAGGACTTGGACATGGACATGGACGTGGACGTGGACGTGGACGTGGAGGTGGACGCGGACATGGACGTGGACGTGGATATGGACGTGGACGTGGACGTTGACATGGACGCGGACATGGACGTGGACGTGGACATGGACGTGGACATGGACGTGGACGTGGACCTGGACGTGGACATGGACGTGGACATGGACGTGGACGTGGACGTGGACGTGGACGTGGACGTGGACGTGGACATGGACGTGGACGTGGACGTGGACGTGGACATGGACGCGGACATGGACGTGGACATGAACGTGGACGTGGACATGGACGTGGACGTGGACGTGGACGTGGACGTGGACTTGGACGTGGACTTGGACGTGGACTTGGACGTGGACGAGGACATGGACGTGGACGTGGACATGGACGTGGACGTGGACGTGGACGTGGACGTGGACATGGACGTGGACGTGGACATGGACGTGGACGTGGACGTGGACGTGGACGTGGACATGGACGTGAACGTGGACGTGGACGTGGACGTGGACGTGGACGTGGACGTGGACATGGACGTGGACGTGGACGTGGAGGACTTGGACGTGGACATGGACGTGGACGTGGACGTGGACGTGGACGTGGACGTGGACGTGGACGTGGACATGGACGTGGACATGGACGTGGACGTGGACGTGGACGTGGACATGGACATGGACGTGGACATGGACGTGGACATGGACGTGGACGTGGACGTGGACATGGACGTGGACGTGGACGTGGGCGTGGACGTGGACGTGGACGTGGACGTGGACATGGACGTGGACGTGGACGTGGACGTGGACATGGACGTGGACGTGGACGTGGACGTGGACGTGGACATGGACGTGGACGTGGACGTGGACGTGGACATGGACGTGGAAGTGGACGTGGACGTGGATATAGACGTGGACGTGGAGATGGACATGGACATGGACGTGGACGTGGACGTGGACGTGGACATCGACGTGGACATGGACGTGGACGTGGACATGGACGTGGACGTGGACGTGGACGTGGACGTGGACATGGACGTGGACGTGGACGTGGACATGGACGTGGACGTGGACGTGGACATGGACGTGGACGTGGACATGGACGTGGACGTGGACGTGGACGTGGACGTGGACGTGGAGGTAGACGTGGACGTGGACGTGGACGTGGACGTGGACATGGACGTGGACGTGGACGTGGACGACTTGGACGTGGACATGGACTTGGACGTGGACATGGAC